CTTTACCACATTTCCTTATGTAGCCATTTTGTCTTCAGCAATCATGTTGGGAAGGTGAGCATCACACAGTGTCATATTATTAGAATAAACCCTTTTTGTACTGACAAACCTACTCAAAGAACAAACCTACTCTTAATTATAGTCACTGAAAAGCTCCTTCCATTTCGCACCCAACTAGCAAGGAGACAATAATCAGGTACTTACTTATCTGATTGGTAGATGCACTGTAGAAGGCATTGACAGTTGTTGGATTTGTAAACCACCTGGAGAAAGAAAAGCAAATAGTACAGGGCAATCATCATTATACAGGCAAGAGGGTGACAAGGACAAAAAAATGCACTTAGACTGATGAACAACTGATCATGGAACCATGGGGATGTGGGCTCCAGGGCAAATAATGGCCTCGGTGAAGGGCTACTGCTCTTCTTAACGAACAATTTCATCGTAAATTGAACACGGTTCATTGAGAATATATAAACATGCCTGGTTATTCAGTGTTACTAACTTGATGGGGAAAATCAGTACAAGTGCTTCTGCTAAAGGCTTTTGGTGAGATATCCCATTCCTGCAAATGGAAAGTGCAATAATCAGATGGTAGCCCACACCTGTTCAATAAATTGTTGGGGCAGCTGCAGCTCCATGGCTGTGACTTGTCCATTAAAATTCTTGGATTGGGTGACAACAGAAGACCATGTAAAGAGAGATGAGTTAAGTGTAACTATGTGACCTGGCATATCCACCTGTTTCTATGAAACGTGTACGAATGAAGCACCCAAAGATCTAGTGATTTGCCCAGACTCTTCAAGTAACAACATCAAAGAGAAAAACAAAGCAAACCAGTTGCCCTTGAGTTGATTCCGCCTCTCGGCAACTCCTGCAGACCTGTGATCTAGAAAGTTTTCAATGGCTGAGTTTTCAGAAGTAGACCAACCAGGCCTTTCTTCCAAGGCACCTCTGGGTAGGCTGAAATATCCAACTTCTTAGTTATCAGCTAAGAGCCTAACATTCTGTGACATCCAGGAAGCTAACATTAACTAGCTAAGTTGTATTGGATATGTCACTGAACCTGCTGGAATTCAATGTTAGTACAAAATGAGGATAACACTGGCCAACACACATTTTGGTGGCTCAAATATTAGCCTTTTTCGAGGTACTTTGACCTGATTCCAAAAAAGATAACAGTTTTCCCTAATCAGCTCCAGTTGTTGAGATAGAGAACATATGCCATATGCCACTCTTCACTAAGCTCACCCATCAAATATAACAGGATATCTTAATGTAGGGTTAGCTAGCCCGAGAGAGGACCTGCAAGCTGGCTTTATTTAAAGTAGTTCATGGTGTACTGAATATTTAAGTCAAGTTATATTTCACATAGTGTCCTTGGATCCAAAGATATATTTGAACAGCGTAAATTACATGAACTTGGAATTGTCCCCAAATATCACTTCATCTTTATTAGGAACTGAAGAGCAGGCAGGTTCAATTTGTTACCTTACAAAGGAGGCCATAAATAAGAGTAAATGTACAATAAATAAGGAGCCCTGGTGACATAGTGGATTATGTGTTTGGCGGCTAACCACAAGGTCAGCTATTCGAGTCTATTATTTGTTCTACAAAAGAAAAATGAGACTTTCTGCTCCCACAAAGATTGATAGCCTCAGGATCCCACAGAAATTCCACTGTGTCCTATTGGGTGGCTATGAGTCATAATGAACTGACTGGTAGTGAGTTTTGTACAATAAGTAGAGATTCAAATATTATGAAACCCAAAATGGGCCTGTCAGAATTCAAACTCCTTTATTAAAATGAAAATGTCCCAGTCTTATTATAAGATGGTACAAGTTCTCCATCTGGTCACAGAAACTCTTAAAAGAAATGTTAGAATTTTTCTAATAAAGAAATTTGGAGTCAACCTCACCTCTAAAATACTTAACATGAGTTATCCATTGACTTCTATATATTAAAATGTGTCCTGAAATGTTTACTGCATAATTTGAAAAAAATTTAGATTTTCAAAATATTTATGACAAAATGCTATGAAGTCTAAATTTTTCCACACTTTAAATTGCCCTCACACCTTCCATGTGTGTGCCTTTTCCGTTTTCTTTTGTTTTTTCCTTTCTTCTCAAGCGGTGTTCTGGTTTTGCAGTACCCAACTTGTAGTCTCTGTATATGTTGCACAGCTTGCCATATCAAAAAGAAAACCCACTGCAAGCTAATCAATTCTAACTCATAGTGACCCTGTAGGACAGAACTGCCCCTCTGAGTTCCCAGTCTTTCAAGGTTGCAGGGTGACTGGTAAGTTTGAACGACTTACCTTATGATTGGCAGATCAATGCATAACCAACTAGCCACCATGGGTCCATATACAGCTTCCCTTGGAAGTCCCTTAATACCTCATTCTTTTTCAAATATTTACCTTTTTTGTCTTATTCTATAATTTGTGGGTCTGAATTTTTCTCCTATTTAAAACTAGGATGATAAATTAGTATAACTCAATAGATGAAATATAGTAGAATACCATATCTAAGAAACTAGAGCTGATTTGGTCTACCCAATGCAATTTTCTGAATCACTGCTCCAAATAACCCAAGAACAGGCCAAAAAAACAAGATACCTAGAAAATATCTATTTTGTCTAATGTATTAGGAGATAATAGGGTGTCTCTTCCAGCTGTGAAGAGTCTACAGCTTCATCTTACTGGTGCAGTATGTTACATAGGTGAGACATTGGGTATGTTTTTTCCTACTAAGAGTTAGATCTTAAATATTTTACATTTTACAAGCAAAGAAGAAAACTGAGGATATTATATGGGTACTTTCATAAAGAGCAAACACATTCTACAAGTTTTTTTATTGATTAAGTTAAAAATAATTATTAAATGCAATTTTAAAACTATATCACTAATTACAAGAATACAACTCTTTGGGGTAGATAACAGTTTGCTTAATTTTGGGTTCAAAATGAATGCGTCACATCAACAAGATAGCAAATTTTTAATCTATAAAACTCATTCATGGAGACTTGCAGGAAGATGGCGACTGAGTAACACATACAAGAGGGACTCCACAAGAATCAGTGCAGGAGAGTTACTAAGAGGGAAATTCCACACTGGAGGAGCATCATAAAGATAAGTAGGCACAGATCCACTAGGTTTTGAAGAGTTGGGGGCTTTTGACTTACCACAGTGGAGTTAGGCTGGGGTTTGACCTTAGTCCTGCAACTGTCTATATGGGAGGCGGGATCATTTGAAGCCGGCACAGGGACTTTATTTCAACACAGCCACAGCTTTCCGCTGCCTTGGGGCAGGGTTTAAACCCCTCCAGCCTCATGGTCAGGGATCGGGGCTCAGCTATACTGTTACTTTAGTTTCTCACTCTTCTCTCTCTCCCACCATAGTCTAAGCTGCCTTGGGGCAGAATTTAAACCCCTCCAACCCCACGGCCTGGGATGGGGCATCTTTTTCTCTTCCCTTTTCTCTCACATGTCACTGCCGACCTCCAAAACATTCTCTTTAACATAGAGGCTTTACGCCTGCCCTCACTGCAGCAGAACCCTAGACTGGGGAACTCCCACCCACCCTCCACCACGGGATATCCCACTAAAATTTTTCCAGGGGAAATTCTGCCACCAGCCCTCTGCAATGCTTAACACATGGCTGGGGAAATCCCGCCCACCTTCTTCAGGGGAAATCCTGCCTTCATGGCTGGGGGAACTCCTATCCATCCTCTGTGGTCCCACGTGGCTGAGGGAGCTTCCTCCCACCTGCCGTGGTGCCTCACACAGTCTAAGGCAGCTCAGCCAACACTTGCCAATGCTCCACGCTGCTCCGAGAACCTCTGCCCAACATCCATAGCAATCTACCTTACCAGGGCAATTACGCCCACCATTTGTGGTGCTCTATACCAAAGTGGGAATCCCAAAAGCCTTCCTTTGCACTCCTGTTGCAGCAGGCACCACCGCATGCCCTATTCGGTGACCCACACCATCACGGCTTCTTGTAAGATCACCAAATACATCACCATCTTCGGGCATTGACAACAACCCAACCAGCATCCCCTGAGAGGACCATCCAACTTCCCCTCCAAATAACAGAATACTAATTGATTGGGGAAAGAGTGAAGCCACTGGAAGATAAAGCGGTAGGCCAATTCCATAGTAAAAATAGCTGCAGGCAGTTCGAAGAAGCATTCCTAGGAGTCTCCCAGAGAGAGCCAGTGCTCTTCAATTCCCTGTAAAATGACACCTTACTTCCCTGGAAAATGATACCTTACTTCTCTAACACAACACAATGCAAACACCAAGCAGCCCCAATGACCTCAACGAAAAAAACAGGAGAAACAAAAGGCAATGGCAGAAGATGTCCTGAACCTAACAACGTGCATAGAAAAAGCAGACATTGATCTACCACAGAAAAATTTTCTGAATGCTGCTTGGAGTCACATAGGATATGAGGTAAACAATACATAAAAAAGGATGAAATGATAGAGGAGATAAAGACCATACACCAAAGGGAAATACAAGAGCTTAGGGACGAGATAACAAAAACCAGTAGCAGACTCATGGACTTCACCAACTAACTGGAGGCAGGTAACTACACCAGTGACCTAAAGGACAGCTAAGCAGACTTTAACAAACACAAACAAAAATCTGATAATATCATCAGAGAAGCTGAAGAACACCTAAGAGCTATGTCTGATGCTATGAAGAGGAATAACATCAGAATAATTTGATTACCGGAGGATGACACAACAAAGAAGTAATCTGCAAATTTAGGGAGGGAATTCTTAGAGTAAAACTTCCCCAGCATAATAAATGAAAACCAGGCAACCATTCAGGAGGCTGAAAGAACACGAGCTAGACTGAATCCCAAGAAGACACCAAGACATAATAGCTAAACTATCCAACTTTGAGGAAAAGAAGAAAATCATGAGAACAGCTAGGGAAAAACAAGCAATCACATATAAAGGTTCCCAAATAAGAATATGCTCAGACCTATCAGTGGACACTCTGAAGAAGAGGAGAGAGTAGATTAAGATATTCCACATATTAAAGGAAAATAATGCAAACCCAAGAATACTCTATCCAGCCAAATTATCTATCAAGATAGATGGAGAAGTAAGAGCCTTCCAAGACAAAGAAAAACTCAAAGAATATCTTAAAAGAAACCCAGCCCTACAAAAGATTCTTGCCAACCCAGTATGGGCAGAGGAACAGCACTCACCGATCATAAATAAGAGAACATCACATAGAACAACCCCAC